GTTAGCCTGGTGATGGGTATTAAAGAGGGCACGTTCTGCATGGAGCACTGGGTGTTATACGCAAACAATGAATCATGGAACACTACATCAAAAAACTAATGATGTATGGGGATTAACATAACATAATAAAAAAATTTTTAACTAAGAAAAAAAAGAACTTAATGGGTTTTAGAGTATTCATTGCATTTCAAATACTTTTTAAGTAGCATAATCACAAAAATTTAGGTTACATGAACTTATTTTTAAATTATATGACTTAGTTTAATGTCTACAAAAAAAAGTGAGATGGAATTATTTCTTCTCTTTTTAAATATATAAAAATATTTACTGTAGTTTACTTTTGTTTAAGACCTCATTTGCAGAGGATTGATCATGTGTTCATATTTCACAAATATCATTGTTTCATGCAGACCTGACTCTTGTTTAGAATAATTTCTTTAGTAATTTATAAATTCCTTTTTAGCCCCACTCTCATTCCCCCTGCTATTCCCCTACATAAACACAACCTATAGGCAGCCATTCTGGCACATTTAATTCAAATCTTTCTATTTGTATATGTACAAATGTATTTGCGTGTGTTTTTCTAACAACTTTATTGTGATATATTTTACATAGCACTCATTTCAAGTATATAATTCAAGAATTTTTAGGAAATTTAGCAAGTTGTACAACCATAGCCATAAATTGTTTTTAGAACATTTTCAGTCCCCTGTAAGAACCCTCATGCCCAATTACAGTTAATACCTATTTTCAGGCCCAGCCCTAATCTACTCTCTGTCTATAAATTTGCCTCTTTTGAACATGTCATAGAATCATATAATATATGGCCTTTTTGTCTGTCTGCTTGTATTCTGAGCAATGTTTTTGAAGTTCAACTATGATGTAGCATATCAGTAGTTTATTCTTTTGTATTGCTGAATAGCATTCCATTGTATAGATATACCACATTTTTTCCACCAGTTGATAGACATTTAGTGTGTTTCCAATTTTTGGTTGTAATGAATTCATATAAGAATTTTGTGTAAACGTACATTTTCATTTCTCTTGGTAGATACCTAAGTAAAGGAATTGTTGAGCTATATGTTTTCTATTTTATGTTTAACTTGTTAAGAAACTGCTAAACTTTTCCATAGTGGTGGTACCATTTTACATTTCTACCTGCAATATTTGTGGGTTCCATTTTCTCCCTATCTTCACCATTATTTGTTATTTTCCATTTTTTAAGTTCTAGCCCTCCTACTAGGTATGACTTGGCCTCTCTGTGGTTTTGATAATAATTTCCCTAATGAGTAAAGATGTCAAGCATCTGTTCCCATCCTTATGGACCACTTGTATATCTTCCTTTGAAAAGTGTTCAGATTCTTTACCTGTTTTTTAACTTGGTTGCATTTCTTGTTGAGTTGTAAGAGTTCTTTATACATTCTAGATACAAATCCCTTATGGGATATGTGATTTTTCAAATACTTTGTCACATTCTGTGGGTTGTCATTTTCACTTTCTTAATCATATCTTTTGATGTACAGAGTTTTAAATCTTGATGATTCCCAATTTTTTTCTTTCATTGCTTATGCTTTTGGTGTCCTATGTACAATTACATTGCCAAATGCAAGATCATGAAGATTTACTCCTGTGTTTTCTTCTGAGAGTTTGATAGTTATGGCTCTTACAGTTCAGTCTTTGCTCCATTTTGAATTATTTTTTATATGATGTGAGGTAGGGGTCCAACTTCATTCTTTTGAATATGGATATCCAGTTATCCCAGAATCATGTACTGAAGAGACTGTTTTTTCTCCATTGAGTAGTCTTGGCAACTTTGTGGAAAATAATTATTCATACTTGCATGGGTTTATTTCTGGATTTTCAAGTCTATTCCATTGACATATATATCAGTTCTTATGCCTCTACCACACTGTTCTGATAGCAGTAACTTTTAATAAGTTTTGAAATCAGGAAGTAGGAATCCTCTCACTTTCTTCTTTTTCAACATTGTTGTGACTGTTCTGAATCCCTTGCAATTCCATATAAATTTTAGGATTAGCCCATCCATTCCTGTAAAATCCTGTTTGTTTCTCATATAAATAATTATATTGTCTGCCAAAACAAGTGGGAGTTTTGTCTTTTCCCTTCTTATTTTTACACATCTTGTTTTCTTTTATTGTTGGCAAGAACCTCAAATGCCTTTAAACATTAGCAGTAATAGTGGATATCTTGTCATGCTCATAATCTTAAAGGGAGTAGATTTTCTCCAGAAGTGTAATGTTTTTTATAACTTTGGGAAATAAAATTATTCATGAGGTTAAACTTTCCTGGTTACTAAGAATTATTTTATTATATAATTTTATTAAATGCATTTTCTACATTTATTGAAATAATTATATAGTTTTTTGCCCTTGGTGCCTTGATGTAATGAGTTAATAGATTTTTGTTGTTCAGTCACCTTTTTATTCCCGGGATAAATCTTTCCTAATCATGAATTCTTTTTAAAAGTCAAGTTGGATTTGATTATCCCAAATTAAATATTTTAAAATTCATGTTCATAAATTAAATGGCTCTGTATTTTCTTATGCTGTTCTCACCTGATTTGGAATCAAGGTCACACCAACTTCATCAAATAAGCTAATTAGTTTTCACTCTTTTTCTGTTTTTTGGAATAATTTGTCTAACGTAGGAATTAATGGTTTTTGAATATTCATAAAACTCCCCTGTAACATCACCTGGACCTGTGGCTTTTTGCAAGAGGAATTATCATAATAAGTCTTTGATACATTTCTTAAATCAAGATATATTTCAAGGACCCATCCCTAGCTGCCTATTGTATTTTTACAGATTGGGTTCAGTAAAATACAAATAAGGTTACATTGATGAATATTCTTTACAATTTCAGGAGATTATAGAACAGCCACTAAAAATAATGCAAGAGGGTACTGCATAACTAAATCAATGTAATTCACCATAGTAATAGAATAAAAGATAATATCCATATGATTGCTAGATTAGGTATTAAATGTTTTTAAATGTTTTTCTATTTATGATAAAATTAGTAAACTTGAAATGTAAATGAACATCTTCAATATGATAAAGGGCATCTACAAGAAGCTTATACCTATGCTTAATGCAAATTATTGAATGCTTTTCCTCCAAGATTGGGAACCAGGCAAGGATCCCCATTTTCACCATACCTATTAAAAATTATACTGGAAGTACTAGCCATTGTAATAAGGCAAGAAAGAGAAAAGGCATACAGGCTGAAAAAGAACTGTCTTTATTTGCCAATTGCATGTCACATACATAGAAAATTTTAAGAAATCTATGAGAAAAGCTACTTGATAAGTGAATTTAGGAGGGTTGCAGAATACAATGTCAGTATAAAAAGATCAACAAAGTATATTTTATATACTAGTAATAGTCAATTAGGTTAGAATTTTAAAATTTTATTTACAGTAATAAAAAAATACATAGAATAAATTTAACATTGCTGAGAAAAATTAATCCAATAATTGGATTGGAAGGCTCAATATTAAGATATCCATTCTCTCCAAATTGATCTGTGGATTCAATGCAATCTCAATGAAAAGTCCATCAGGCTTGACAAGCGGACTCCGATATTTTACATGGAGGTTGCAAAACAAAGGATTTATTATCCCTAAAACAATCTTGGAAAAACAAAGTTAAAAGACACACTGTGTGATTTAAAGACTTACTATAATGCTACAGTAGTCAAGACAGTGTGATACTTTTATAAGGATAGATGTGTATTTCAATAAAAAAGAATGGAATGTCTAGAAGTAACCTCATACCTACACAGTTATTTGATTTTTCAAAAAGCATCAAAGTAATCAAGGGAGAAAGGAAAGTCATTTCTGCATATTGTGCTTGAACAACTACATACTCATATGGGGAAAAAAAAGAAACATGACCTCTACGTCACACATCATATTACAAACATCAATTCAATATGCATCACAGCCCTAAATGTAAATGTTAAAACCATAAAGTTTTTAGAAGAAAACATGAGAATCTTTGTGACTTGCAGGTAGGCAAAGTTTTCTCAAAGACAGGACATAGAAACAATTATAAAAGAAAAAAATGATAAATTTGAATTTATCAAAATTTAAAACTTATTAAAATTTACTGTTAAAATGAAGACAAGCTACAGGCTGTCAGAAATTAGTTGCAAAAATTTACAAAACATACCTGAAGGGACTAAGATCCGTGAAATATAAAGTTTCCTACAAATAAAAAATGGGCAAAGATTTGAACAGACCTTTTTCAAAAGATGTAAGAATGACCACAAACCCATAAAGTAATCAACATCACAGGTTAAAAAGGAAATGCAAAGTGATAGCATAATGAAATACATCCACCATAATGGTTAAAATTGACTGACAAAAAAAAAAAAGAACGACTGATGACACCATAGTTTGGCAAGGCAAGGATGTGGAGCAATTGGACCTTGCATACATCGTTGGAGAAAATACAGAAATGGTAGACCAGTGAGAAAAAAACCTTCTGGCAGTTTTGTTTTTAATCAAACTAATCCTATAACTGCCCTATAACACGGCAGTTAATAGTCCTGGGTATGTACACAAGTCTTTTACCTTCAGCAAAAGACTTATACAACAATATTGAGAGCAACTCTATTTGAACCCCCCAAACTGGAAATAGTCCAGGTATCCATCAGTAGGAAAATAAGTAAATAAACTGTGGTATATTCCTATCATGGAATACTGCTCAGCAGGAAAAAGGAACGAACTACTTATGTATGAATAAATCTCAGAAACCTGTTAAGTCAAAGAAGCCTCACGCACAAGAGTCCATATTGTTTGATTCAGTTTATCTGAAATTCCGGAAGAGATACAACTGATCTATGATGGAAAAACAATACTCTTTGCCTCTGGGGGTAGGAGTGATTGGAAGGAGGCTTAAGGGGATATAGAGAGTGAAGATAACATTTGATTTCTTTATGTAAGTTGAGGCTACACAGATTAATGCATTTATGAGAATTCATTGAATAGAACATTTAAGGTATGCGCATTTCATTGTAAGTTTTGGCTCCAAAAAAGAAAATGGACCTGAAAAAATATGGAACTCTTGTTAATTTCAAGCATGCTGAGATACTTAAGGTCAGTGTACTGATGTTTACAGTTTACTTTGAAATGCATCCAAAAGTGTAAATGGATTGAGGGATTGATAGCTTAGTAAAGTAAGATATGTGATAAAGCAAGTACGTGAAGTGTTGATAGGAGGTAGTGGGTGTATGGATGTTTGCTGCAAAATTCTTTCAACTTTTATGTTTGTTTGGTAATTTTCATTATAAAATGTTGGCGGAAGGATCTCAGGAGATGAAACCAAGCATCTTTTTTTCAGTAGATTTCATTATTTCAGTTTATAAAATAGAGGCAGTATAATGTAGTAGAGCTAGAACTGCCTGGGTTTAAATCCCAGAGCTTTGACTTACTAGCTGTGGGATCTTGGGAAAGCTGCTTTATGATCTGTGCCTCAGTTTCCTCAATATTAATCAAAATCACAATCATAGGTTATTATGAGGATGGATGGATGGATGATTATTGGATCAGTGCCTAGCACATATTAAGCTCTATATTTGTCAATTACTAGTCAAGCATAATTGAAATACATTTAATTTTAAGAAACTTGCGTTTTTCTAGATTTTGCTTTGAAATTTCAAATTTCACTTTAACATATTTTATAGTTAAGATGACATCAACACCAATCCTGGTAGAGGCCAGTGATGAGGAAGGGGGGAATGGATGGGTGGGGAAATGAAAAGGACTGAGTTTTGTGCATTTGAATAACAAGCTCACCCTATACTTGATTAGCCCTTTTTTTTTTAGCTTTTTTTTTTTTTAAGAGTATTTGTGTTGCAAAAACTTTCTATATGTTCTATTGGAAATCTTCATGTACCAAAAGGAAAAAAACAAAAGTAACATGCATTGCATAAAATGTGTTAATTTTTATAGATTGATCTAGAAGCTGAGATGGTGAGCACTGTAGCTGGCATTGGAATTCAAGGTACAGATAAAGAAGGTGGAGCTCAAGGAGAAGAACAACCCATTAGTTCTCCTTGGGATGTAGTTTTTGGAACGTCAGGTATGTAAACTTTTAATACTAAATATAAGTAAACTTTGCTTAACAAATGTAAGATTTTTAAAATATTCTGGGGACATTCGTTTGGATTAATTCTAATTGCTAGTTATTTTATAATTTTATTACCTATGGTGGGATTTATTGTGTAAAAATAAAGCCGGCAGCATTGTTATATATAACATTACAGATTATATTTTATACACAAGTAAACTATATATTACTCTAATGTTAAAGAATTTTGTCTTAGCTGTAGTTTCCAATTAATATAGTTCTGAATATTCTTAAATTGGAAAGATTGTAGTTTCAGAACTTGAAATGATTATTCATGAACTATGCTGTTTAACAGTGCCTTTTTATTTAATTTGAAATCAAGAAATGATAGTGCTTTTTTTAGATTATTAAAATTTGTATTGAAATGTGATAGCTCCATTTGGGTAATTAAAAAAAACTTTACTGAATTATATAGGTATTGATAATGAGATTTATATTGTCTTTATAATCTTTATTACCTGTATTAATTGACTAGAAATCATCTTGGAGCAGTAGTACTTATTTTTCATTGGCCCTCAGTGCTTCTGAGATAGTTACACATCTACACATCTAAAACCAGAGTAATGAATAAAGAAAGTTAGTAGAATACATTGAAAATGGAATTTGGTACTAAGTGGTTTGTATGATCTGAATTATATTTATAGAGTGAATAAGCACCAGCTTAGTTTAATGGCTTTACATTTGAGATAATTTCCTATTGTGATGTTAATCTGGTTATAATTCAAAGACCTTAATTTTTTCCATTGTGATTAACTTTATAAAGCTTTTAATATTCATAAAATAATTGAATGAACTTCTGGTACTACTGCACTTAATAATAACTTAGGTATTTTGCATAAGTTACTTTTGAGACTTTTATTTTGGGAATTCTGTGTCCTGATAGTCATGAGTTGTTTTAGTGGCTCACAGGGAGAAGGAGTTGGGAAGGGAGGGGAGCAGTGTGTCCCAGGCACAATCAATCAATAAGGGGATATATGCAGAGAATTTTAAAACAGTAGTAAAACCAGCTACAGTTCAGTCTTCTTTTTGTCGCCATGCATGGCCAATTCTAAATAATTTCAGGGTTAAAAATACTCATCCCCACCAGGACTTATCTGTCCGTCCTGCCTCCTTGCCTTTGATACACTGAGCTATTTGAACATAAACCTTATAGACAGAAAAATAGTCTGAAACATCTCTCTCAGTAAAATAGTCAAAGTGGATGAGAATTGTTACTTTGCTATACTGTCCCCCTCCCTCATGGGAAAAAAAATTTTTTTCTCCCCTTAGCATGTAAGCCCCTGGGAACTTAAAGCTAATAGTGCACATAGCAATTCATTTATAGATATTTACATTTTGCAACCTACAGCTTGTATGTACTGTATTTGTTAGTAATTGCCACAATAACAGTTCATAAGAAATCATCCCAAACTCACACAAACCTAAACCTTTATTTCTTACTCTTACATAGGGTTGGGGTTCAGCTGATCAAGGCTAAGCCTGGGCTTGGTTCCAGGCTGTTTCTTGGGTCTAGATCTACCCTGTTTCTCAACCTCCTTGAACCAATAGCTGTCTGAAGCATATTCTTTTGTCAGAAGGCAGGAGCACAAGAGAGTAAGCCCAGTTAAACACATTTGAAGCCTTTGCTTATGTCTTAACTGCTTACCGACTGTTATAAGCATGTCACATGACTAAGCCCAAAGTCATAGGGCAGGGATACACACTTTGCCTACAGTGAGGCTCTGGTAAGGGTATGAATGTGTAATAGTACAACAGAGGAGTGAAGAATTAAGACTAGTAATTCATTCTGTCACATAAATCAGATATTACATTGCTTAAAAACAGGGTGTACTTTACTGGATACTTTATTTAGTTGGATTTATTTAAGCATTTTTTCTAGGCTAAAAGTTTTTCATACTTTATAGCATGGAATCTCTGGTTGTTTATTTCCTATTGAGAATGCACCCAGATTGCTTTCTAAGGAAAATCTTGGGTCTATAGACAAGTACCCTCTCAGCTTCCAACTGAATAATGTGCTGAGACTTATGTCTTTATTAAGCTCAGTTCTCAGTAAAGGAAGTGGTGAGTCCTACCTTAGCTCAACAGATCATTAAGAGCATATGGCTCTGCATTTCACTTAGAGCTTAGAATAGCTTCACTCCAGGTACTTGGCAAAAGGAGTAATCTTGAATGCACTTAAGCTTAACACCTCTCAAAATGCTCAGAGAAAATGGTTTTCAAGCACTTTATGAAGGACCTATAATCATAATGACGACTCTAGTCCAAGAGTTTTTAACTTTGAGTCATATAACCCAGGCATTCCTGGTTAGGTTTTTTGAGATTCTTAAACTTCTCAGAAATTCTATATAAGATTTGGGGGGAATTGGTCAGACTTTCATCAGAATTTTAGAGTACATTACCCAAAATCATTTTAAGAGCCACTGCTTTCAATAATTACTCTAAAATCTAATCCTGGATTAATGTATATTGTCAGGGTTTAGGGAAATTGGATTACAGAATATTTGTTCTTACAATTGTTTTTACTAAATAGTATTTTGGCATCATGTCATTCATTTAAAAATGTGTCAACACATTTATGTCTGTATGTGTGCATATGTGTTTGATATGTATTTCATCAAAACACAGTCCTATGAGACTTATTACGATTTTTACTATAGGGATTTGTTGGTAGTTCAATCATTACCTTAGAAATAAATTTCTCTACTAGAGAAATTTTTTTCTGATCTCTATATTATAGATAATACTTTTTTTCCTAAGTATCAAGTTTGATTTAAGCTCTTTGATAATTTGAATATCGTAACTGATTGTATTTGTTTTGTTGTACTGATTGCCAGAAAACTTAGAGACCAATTATCTTTAGCAAAGTATAATGGAAACATGGCATTCATTCTTTGATATGAGTACAGCTGCATCTCTTTCTTTTCTACCCTATTTACTTACTGCTTCAATTTTTTTATTTTAAATTTATTTATCAGTATTTATTTCTTTGTAAGCACCTGAATCATTTGTGGAAATAAAAGTAGAAGTAAATGGAGTAGAATCCATTACTGATGTGATTGACTATGATAACTGGTCCATTTAGAAAAAAAATCTTTTTAAAAATCTGAGAATCATAAAAGTAAAAATACTTTCTTCTAAGAACTATAAGTGTACATTTTTAAGCCAATCTTTTGATGTAGGACCAAAGCCTTTTCTTCATGTAGCCCCTGATAGTCTTGTACCACTCCAAATAAACTATTTGGGTTTCCTTAAGTGTGATGAGAATTTTGAAACACTTGCAAGGAAGTCTGAGGGCTGCAGTGTTTTTAACTTATTCTTTCAATTGTCTTTCCACACTTAGTTCAACAATTTGACTTGGCTACTTGCTTTTATTGAGTCTTTCCAAAGTATTCAACTTTGTTTTCATAAAAACAACTTTCCATTTGCATTCATATTGAATTGGTCACTGTATATATAAATTATGTAATCATACAACTGGTTTAAACAGATGGGGAATTAAACGCAACTTGAAGGGGACTGGCTGAGAAAAATTGTTCATGTAAAAACTTAAGTTTTTTAACACTTGAAGAGAATATTCCTGAAATTCTACCATAGTTGTGAATTTGAGAGAGGACGGAATCATCAGGAGGAAACCAGGGAAAACTGGATTCAGGGTTGTGCTCTCTTTGTACATTAGGCTGTCCTGCGGCGCCGGTAACAGCTACAGCTACAAGTAGCATCCGCAGACAAGTCGCCGGCGTCTGAGTAAGAAATCAAGTTGCAGAAGAGACTACAAGATGATTTCTTTTACAGAAAGTTGACCCTGCAGGAAAAAATCTTCATGTAACTTTGACTCCCCCAAAACTGAACTGCTGATAGCCTACTGTACCAACAACAGAAACAGTCAACTGAGGCATAGTTTGTATGTTACATGTATTATACACTGTATTCTTTTTTTTTAAGATTTTTTATTTGTCAGAGAGAGAGCTAGCACACAAGCAGGGGGAGCGGCAGAGGCAGAGGGAGAAGCAGGCTCCCTGCTGAGCAAGGAGCCCGATGCAGGACTCCATCCCAGGACCCTGGGATCATGACCTGAGCCAAAAGCAGACGCTTAATCGACTGAGCCCCTAGCACCCCTATATACTGTATTCTTACAAAAAAAGTAAGCTAGAGAAAAGAAAATGTTAAGAAAATCGTAAGAGAAAATATAATTACAGTACTATACTGTACTGATTGAAAAAAATCTGGGCATAAGTGGACCCATGTAGTTCAGACCTGTTTTCAAGGGTCAGCTGTACATTGAGAGATCCATCCAGACGTGGTAAAATTAAAAAAGAAAAGAAAAAAACGAAAAACACAAATTTTTAGACCAGTGGTTCCTTGTGGGAAAAGGAGGGGATATGATCATGGAGGGATGCATGAGGTTTTCATATAATTTCTTCTTCTTCAGCTTGGTGGTGTGCACATAGATTTCTAGTTATTAAACTTTATATATATAACATGTAGCCATTTGTATGTATGTTTAGTTAAAAACTGAACTTTTAGAAAAAGCAATAGATTAGGTAAAGAGAATGAAAAATAATGGGGACAAATATACAACTGAATGTATATCTTATCAAGGGATCCATTTAATAAACAACATACTTCAGGAGATTAGGGAAAGGTACTTGAATACCTCTGATTGTTTTAAGTATACATGTAATGTGAAGATGTATGTATGTATTTTAAATGGTGACTGAATAGCCCAAACCCATGCCATCACAGTAGTAAAAGCATAAAAATAATTAACATAAAATGATTTTTACAAGAGATTGTTTCATCTTTGTTCATGTTTTATTATCACTGTGAATATGGTCAGAGCTTCATAATGCACTAAAAATAATTACTAGCTACAATAAATTTATAGTTTTTCAGAATCTGCCATGTTTCTAAGAGCTTTTTTATCATAAAGGTCAAAACCCCTGCTAGTCTCT